CAGAGGCGCACTTCACGAAGCAGAATTAAGCAAAGAAAAAAAATTGTAATATAAAGTATAAACTTGCTTCAATACAAAAAAAAAAGAAAAAAAAGAAACAGAGGCGCACTTCATGAAGCAGAATCAAGCAAAAAAAAATTGTAATATAAAGTATAAAGTTGCTTCAATACAGAAAAAAAAAAAAAAAAGAAACAGAGGCACACTTCATGAAGCAAAACCAAGCAAAGAAAAAAAATTGTAATATAAAGTATACACTTGCTTCAATATAGAAAAAAAAATCCATAAGCATACTTGCAAAAGCAGAATCAAGCAAAGAAAAAGAATTGCAACAAGCTTTCATGTCTTTTTATTTCTAATTCCAACTTTTTGTTCTGGTTCAAAAAAAGAAAAAAAGAGAGAGATGGCATTTGCAGAGCAGAAGTAAAACCAAGCCAAAAAAAAAAAAATTATAACATGCTTAATCACTGTCCAATAATAAGATCAGTGCTTACTTGAAAGATTACTTGGAATTGGAGACGATATGGTGTGTAGAATTGCAGATTAGTGCTCAATTGCTGTCCCTCCAATTACAGGAGGTGTGAAAGGGTAAGTTCTGTCAAAGTTGCAAGCTATGGCTGATGGCGACTAAGAGGAGAGTCGAGAGGAGAGCTGCAAGCTATAGCCGATGGTGCACAAAGTGTAAAGGAGAGTCGAGAGGAAAGTTGGGAGGAAAAGAGTCGGAAGACTAGATGTGGCGGGATGAGACCAGATGCGCGCTGGATGAGACTAGAATCTAGATGCGATGAGTTTTAGCTTTTAGGGTTTTCTTTTTTTAATTTATAAATAGAAAAGTTGAAAAGACAAAATTAACCTTAAAAATTTTTAACTTAAACTTTTAATGGGGGTTAACATGGTAATTTGACGAAAGCAGTCAAAAAAATTACATTGCAGCCGCTATGTGCGTTATTCGCTATACAAATAACGGCCGTTATTAGTGGTAATAGCAGCCGCTATTGACAAAACACTACGCTATGACAAATTTTCATAGCGGCCATAGCGGCATAGCATAGCTGGTCGCTATTGACAACATTGGTTGAAAGGCTTAATTCTTATAAAACTTACGGGGTGAATTAGATCTTTTCAATAAGTACAAGGACTAAAAAATATTCTTCTTTTTTTTTTGGTTGAATGTCATAATCCTTAAACTTTCAATTTTGAACGATTTTAATCATAAAATATTTTCAGGAATAAAAATTGTTCAAAATTAAAATTTTATGAACTAAATTTGGTATTTTTAACTTTTGTTTTATAAGGTGTTCAACAAAAGAGGAAAATTGATAGAACACTAAACAATTTGGAGTAATTGTAGCTATCAAACCTTTCCTATTCCCTAGCACAAAACCCTTCAATAATAAGATCACAGAAGGTGAAGTCTCCATTATGGAAAGACAAGGATCATCAAAACCAAATTTTGACAACCTTACAACATTACAAGTTCATTGATCATGTCTTAAGGGAAACAAGCAGCTTATGATGGTGCTCGTCTCCAAGAAGATCTTATAACATTGGAAAAGTTGCATAGATAGTTACTACCATCTTTTTTATCCATGTTATCAAATTGACTATTGAGATGGATCACAAATAGTAGCTCAAAGAGCTTGAGCTTTAGTAGGCTAGCCTCTTCAAAGCCCCACTTGCTACCCCAATCCATTAGTGGTTGATTGAAATGATTTTGACTAGACTATGTTTTTGCATTGTATTGTTCTCGATCAAAATGATTTGGCATGTTTTTGTTTTTCTCTTTTCTTGATTTCCTAATAATCACTTCAAATTGAAGGTACAATAAGGTTTTTTGAGACTAGACAAAAAAAAAAAAAATAGAAGCAAAGAATCAGTTACCCAATTACCAAACTAAACTTTGAAAACCAAGTTAGAGTTATTGGTTTTTGGGTGTACAATTTGGGTTCAAGTTAAGCTCAATTAAATTTGGTGCAATATTTGGTGGGCTAAGCCAAAATTAAAAACCATAGTAGCCCACTGAACAAATGAATTTATAATTAAAGTAATATTTTTATTTTTTTTAGTAGGAAATTTATAACACATAGGCCTAACCTTAATCTCATCTTTGTTCTTTCATTCTTGTTTTCCCTCTTCCTCTACCATTCCTAAAACCCTTAATAAAAAATTCACTAAAACCCTTAATAAAAAATTCCTTCCATGTCTTCATTAAAATTTCATCTCCTTCCTTCCTCAATTCCTTTTTTACCACCATGGATACATCTAGTATTAAAGATTTTACTCACCCCTCTTAACAATTCCTTTTCCCTTTCTTCTACCACCATCCATGATTCACCTTTCACTGTCTTCTTTCTTTAAAAAATCTTTCTTCCTTTGGTTATTAAGTATAACCAAAATAAGAAATTAGTTGCTATTTTACAATTCCAAATAATTGAAGTTTGCTAGGTAAGAACCCGTACCCTATTTATTAATAAATCCTAAATCTAAGTTTGATAATTTGATTTTTGAAAATCCTCACTCTTATAATTAATCATAAATCTAAACTTGAATTTTGAGATTTTACAAATCAATCCCTAAGTCTAAATATTCTATATGTTCGTTTTAGGATTTAAATTACTTTTTTTTAGAATAATCTTTTTTTTTTTCAAATTAAACATTCTTCCTTCATGCACTTTCTTTTCTTGTCTTTTTTCACTTTTTTTTCATTGTGCTTCCCTATGAATGATTTCTTGTTAAATAATGTTAAATTCAATTTGGGTTTGATTTTTATATGGAATTTGATTTATACACAGTGATTAAATTTAACTAATGGTTAAATCTATTTTTTTTCTTTTTGTTTTAGTTTGTTTATTGCTAAACTTGATCTTTTTTAATAATTAATTATTTAATTTGGTCTAGAGTTGGTTTCACCTTTGTCATCTTCATTTCATTTTTAGTTGATTAGGTATTTGTAAAAGGCGAAAAAGAGAGAAAGCAAAGTAGGCAAGGAGATGAAAAATGAGAATCATGCCTAATTAATCTTAATTAAAAAATAAAAATATTATTTTCATTTTTGTTTTGATATTTTAATTTTTTTTATTTAATTTGATAGAGAAATGATTCAATCTAATTTTCAACATTTTCCCATGTCATTTTGTAAATGTTAATTGCAGCCTATTACTTAAGGCATAGAGATCAATGGATGACGCAAATTAGCACCTAATCAATCTAAGACTAAGAAAAATTACCTAAATATTGATTTCTTTCATTTTTGTTTCCATTTGTCCAAGTATGAACATTTTTTATTATTAGTTGTTTCTAATTCCTCTATCTTATAGCAAAATGATAGACAACCAATAAAAATTAATGGCAATTGTTCATTACTTAATGCAACTATTGTGAGTAGACAAAATTCCACCAAGAGTGAGAACAACTTAAATGGAGGTAGAAAAAGCAAAGCAATGGCAAAGAGATTGTATGATGGTAACAAGTTAATACTTATGAAAATGATATGGTAAGTCAAAGGTTATATGCAAGCATTGCAAAAATGATTTTGTTGCTGGCACTAGGATTAATGGAACAACATGAATGAAACTCATAATTCAAAGTGTAAAAAAAATCTTGTGAATATGAAATATCAATCTATGCTTAAGTTTCACATTGTTAGGGGAAAATTGAGGGTTAATCTATTGAGGTAACTCAATTGTATACATAAACATTTTGATCCTAAGGCTATTAAAAAGGCTTTAGTTGAAATGGTGATTATAAATGAGCAGTCATTTAACTTGTTAAGGAATTAGGGTTCAAAGTCTTTGTGAAGTAGTTTTGCCTTTTATTTTCAAACTTTCATCTAGAACGACTATAACAAAAGATTATTATGACATATATGAACTATAGGTCTCATTTGAAGAATTTCTTTAAATAATCTCAACATAGAATTTCGCTAACAACAAGTACTTATACATCTTTGAAAAAGATTGGCTACATGGTTTGACAACTCATGTTATTAATGATGATTGGAAGTTGCAAAATAAAATTCTATAGTTTCTATTTTGTAGATAGTCATAGGAGTTAGGAATTACAAGATTTACTAGTTAGGTGTCTAAAAGATTAGGGGATTAAGAATGTCTATGCATTGATAATAAATAATGCATCTTCCATTGATAATATGATTTGAGTGGTTAAAGATACACTTAATAAATGGGGTACTACTATATTTCGTGTGCAGAATCTACACAAGGTGTGTAATCCATATAATTATGTAACAAATAATAATAATACGAAGTTATTTGTTGATACTATAAAGGTTACTGTAAAGTGTGTGAGACAAAGTCCATTGAGATTAAAGAGGTTTGGGGGAAAATGTAATAGGTTGGACATTGAAAGAAAGAAATTTTTTTGTTTAGATGTTCTAACAAAGTGGAATTCCATGTTTAATATGTTGGATACAACTAAAAAATCTGAGAAAGTATTTGAGAAATAATATTTATGATTTTTTTACTTTTTGTTTTATAAAATTGAGCAATACTTTCTGTTTTTATAATTTAATTATTTTAATGGAAGTTATTTAATGTTTTTAAAGACATTTTTGATAAGATATAAACATAAGAATTGAGCTTAACTCAACCTCTAATGCACTTGAATTCTCATCTTGTATTGATTGGAAAAATGTCAAAAGACTTATTCTATTTTTAAACATTTCAACGAGATAATTGAGAAGATATTTGTTAGTTTATATCTCATAAATCACTAAGATAAGTGATGTTTATTTTCAATTTTTATTTTAATTTGTATTTTAAATTTTTGTTTTCAATTGTTGTGTTTAGTTTTATATTTTCATTTTTATTTTTAGTTTTTATTTTAATTTTTGTTTTTCATTTTTATTCTCAGTTTCTATTTTCTTTTCTATTTCTATTTCTATTTTTAACTTCTATTTTCAATTTTATTTTTAATTTCTATTTTAATTTTCTGTTTTTAATTTTTGGTTTTCATTTCCATTTTATATTTTACTTTTAGTTTATGTTTTTAATTTCCATTTTTATTTCTATTTTTTATTTTTATTTTATAAGGTTGATTGTTTAATTAAACATTAGAAAAATGATGCTGAACTCCATATGGTTGCTTAAAACATAAGGGAGAAGTTTATGAAATATTGGGAAAATCATAGACAAATAAATAAAAGCATCTTTGTGGTGGTTATTCTTGATCCTAGGAATAAGCTTAACTATCTTGATTTTTTACTTACAAAAGTATATGGAGAAGATGGCAAAGATTATAAAATCATGATGAGAAATGCAATGAATATAATATTTCTTAAATACTAAAGGTTAATTGTAAAGGAATCTAGTGGTAAGCAATCTTCAAAGACGACAACAAATATTAAAACTTCCACTTCAAGTGAGATTAAGCCAAGGCGTTGGCAAATGACATATAAGTACAAGAAATTCAAGTTGGATAGTGTTGCTAATTAAGTGAAAATAAAATTAGATAAGTACTTTGCTAAGGACTAAGAGGATCACATTAAAGACTTTGATATTCTTTAACGATGGAAAATGGATGGGCATAGGTTTCCAGTTTTGGTAGCCATGGTGAGGAAGGTGTTAACTATTCTAATATCCATATTGGCCTTAAAATCTGCTTTCAGGAGAGAGTCTTAGATGAATTTAGATCCATTTTTACTATATAGATGGTACAATCACTCATTTGCACTTAAAATTGACTACAATCAAAGGCAAAAACAACTATTATGGAGATTTGGATGCACTTGAGGATTTAGAGAAAGGCATTATTAATTAATATCAATTTCAATTTACTTTTAATATTTTGAGTTTTAATTAATTTTAATGTTTTATTTTGAGTTTCAATGGTTGGATTTGATAAGTTGTGTCTCGACTCATCCTTAAATGATTGAAGTTCATTGTGGTTGAATTCTTTTTTGATAATTACATAGGTAAATACATCTTAAGGTTGTCTTAAATTAATTTCAATAATGTTATTTGCAAAGTAGTTCCTTGTTGTACTTCATTGGTTTACACATTAAGTATTATGCACTTACCAACGTTTCTCTTTGTTTATTGACGTACAAATGAATAGATGATGCAAATGTAAAGAAAATGATATTGTTGATTTCATATTTTGGTGCATAACACAATAATATGTTAGTTGTGTAAACTTAATGCTCAAGCTTCTTTTTGGACAGTTTCTACATGGATAGCATAAGACTTGATAATTGACAAATTACACATATCTCGTGCATTTTAATTAGTTGGTTTTTTTTATGATGGTTAAATGCATACTTTACAGTTCCTTATTTGATATTTGATGACATTTTTAGTTCACCATGCATCTTCTATTTTGGTTGTCTAATATGATGGTTTAGGGTGTTTTCCAAGTAGAGAAGATGAATATAAGGAACATAATCATTTAACTACAATTTTTTCGTAATTGCTTTTGATGTTGAATAACTTTTTTTTTTATAATAGCATAGCATTTACTTTTATTTTTTATTTTTTGGAGTACAAAGGTTACTCTTACCCATGACATCAAGATTAATACAATGATGCTCACCTTCCACTTATTTATTATATAAAATAGGCCATTAGATTCAAAAATCAACTTGTTAGGCTCACATACCAATGTCTCTTTTTTGCCTTCAACTAATTAAAGGCTTAATTTGAATAATTTCACATACCTCGTTAGCCTCCAGCTTTACTCTTTGACATACATATCTATTGCTATGCAAGCAAATTGTAATACCCCAAATTTTCGAGAATTTTAGCATTTAATTAGGGACTTGATTGTGAGAAAAGATTGTTTTGGGGTCTAATGTGAATATTACAAAAGTTGAGAGACTTAAAGAGGGAAAGATTTTGGATAAGGATGACTTCTTTTCTTTTTCTTTTTCTTTCTTTCTTTTCTTCCCAGCCTTGCCCGATTCTGCTCTTCTTCTCCTTTCTTCCCGCTGCAGCCACTCGAAAGAAAAAAAAAGTGGAACCCAGCCATGCTTGAGAAACTAGTGAGAAAGCTTGGTTTTCTCCTTCTTTTCTTGCTCTAGAACACATGTAGAACCCAGAAATTCTTTCCCCTTTGCTGGAAATTCCAGATCTGCCTTGCTCTGCTTGTCTCCACCGCCGGCTGCTAGTGGGTATGGGTGATTTCTGGGCATTTTTCGGTAAGAACAGCCCCTAATTTCCTTTGTTCTTGCTTGAATTGCCCTGGGTTTACTTT